GGGCAATGAAAAAAATTGTTAGGAAAAAGATTTTCAGTTTCTCATGAAAACAAAAGCTGGAATGATATTGTCTCCATGATGGTTCAGTTTTACAAATAAAATTTTAAATTTGTCAAAACTGGCATTATTCCAATCCATTCAGTTAATTGATTGATATGATTATATAAATCCACCCATAGCTGTTTTGATATGCAATGGGCAGCAAATACATTTAATAAATAAATAGTCATCCCACCATTTTTAAAACATTTTATACCAGCAAAAATAATTGAGATGACATTGACATGACAATATGCTCTTTAGAAGAAAAAAATGAGTTAGTCTGAGCAGTGACTAACTGCTTTGTGGCTGAAGTTGATCATGATCCCAGTCCTATTTCTACAGATTGATCCTTAAACAATTCTCCATCTCTCCTAACCTCTCAATTCTCATTTATTTATTGGATGAAAATCATTTGAAGCCTGTTTGAATTACTTATGGTGGGAAAGTCTAATTTGTAAGTATCCTATTAATGTACAATATTACTTTGTTTTATAATACAGAATCAAATAGCATAACCATAAATGCTCCTTACTGGTCTCAATATGATTTACTCCCCCCCCCCAATTAAACAAAATGAAATGGTTAAATTACACTCCTTTGAAAAATTATTTCAGCTCATTTGAAAATCATGCTGATGAGCTATTAGAATGTCATCTATAAATTTGGTTGTGTAAAAGTATGTGTCAACTGGTTTCCCAGAAATATAATTATCTTGACATGTGTCCCAATTGAAAGGAGTATCTGGAATTTAGGATATAGCGTGACAACTGATTGTATAGAAAAAAAAATCTGCTCATGCTGCCGCATCCTGTACCAGCTGAAGCTTCCATATGCACTTCAAAGGTAGTCCTTATAGAATACATTTTAGTAGTCCATTCAGGAGATGATCGGGGCATGAATAACTGAGCAAAGTATCGTAATCCAGGAATGGGCACAACTGGAGGACAGCAGAAGTTTTGCAGAGATGCTCCTGGTTATGGCTTCCATCTGCTCCTCAGGCAGGAGTTATGAAGCCAGAAGGACCAGATTGTGCATCTGATCTGTTTGGGACAGTTCCACCCCATCCAGTACAGAAGATGGTTAAGTCCCAGATTAATAAGGCCTTAAAACCTCTAGCCATTCAGTCTTGCCAGGGTTTAAGTAAGTACCCTGTTATTCCCCATCAAGACTCCTACATTCTACATGACAGGACATTTATAGCACTGCTATGGCATTTCTAGGGGCTCAGAGATATAATTGAGTCTTGCTAATATATAGATGATACTTTATCCATAGTGATAGATGAGCAGTTTCATGTAGATGTTAAACAGATCAAGTAGAACCAGGATGAATGCACTACCCACATCCCATTTCTTCCAGAGATCATTTAAAAATATGAACAAGGCTGTTTCCTTCTGTGTCCAGGCATGAGATTTGACTGAAAGGCATCTAGATAATTCACTTCATCTAGGGTTCACTGAAGCTGCTGCATGACCACCTTCTCCACAACCTTCCTTAGAAAAGGGAGATTGGACACTGGATTAAAAATGTACATTATGGTAGGATTCTGTAATGCCTTCTTGAGGATGGGGATGAACCTATTTCTCCTTAAAAGGTGAAGAAAAACTGCCTCCCTCAAAAATGAATTAACAATTGCCAGAATTGTCCCATTCAGGGCAGCAAGCTAGCATGGTTTTAAGAGGAAGGTGGTGTGGTTTGCAATCAGGATGATCCCATCTACTTCCTGAGGCCCAGCAGATTCAAACCATTCCAATATAACAGAGTAGTAAGACTATGCCAAATATCTTCACCAGAACTTCACTAAACTGGTATCTAACTGGGAATGAATTTGGGCAGTTTTGTCCAACAGATGCTCTGAAAATTCCTCTTTCCAGCTCTGCACGTGAATCTCTGAGTTCCCCTTGTTCAAATGGGCTTGGGTCAAAAAAAGCCAGGCCAGAAGACAGCAATCTGCAGACACAATAAGGATATAGTTACTTTACCATTCCTACCATCACAGGCTGGGCATTAGTAGCTGCTCTCACCTATGCTTGGTTATGTTCATCCTTTATTGATCTCCAGTGATGCTCTGAACATCTTTTCTATCATTTCATCTCCCTCAGCAATTCTATAAACCATGGAAAACAATGGAATCCATAGCAAAAATAAAGTCATACAGGGACAGTCTGATCCAAGGCATTGTCACCCTCATAACAAAACCTTCTGGATCATACAGATCATTAGGAACAATCTCCAGCTCTCTCTGGAATCTTTCCAGCTCATTCAGTCATCAGGGTAGGACCAATCAAATTGATCTCATATCTATGTGACTTGAGCTGGATCACATGGTTCCCAGGGCATGAACTCACCAGTGCAAGTGAGTCACAAACAGCTCCCTCAGATCCAGATCATTTGGTCACTGCTTTGACAAAAAAATCAAATCAGGTGCGTGACCATCATCCCATGTCTCCTGAGCTATTATAGACTCCATTACCAGGAAAGATAGGTTGAAATCCCCCAGGATCATAAGCCTGGGAATTCCACTACCAACCCTGAAATGGAATCAAGGACCTCAGACAGGAAGGTTGCCATTCAACAAAGAGGCTGGTGCCATGGAATTCAACTTAAGGAATGTTGCCAGTTGACTAGATCCTAAGGCTGTTAGTTGCAGAAAAGCTGATTCCTAGAATGTTTCTGGATGGCAGGATAAATTAGGATGCCCACTTTGAACTGTATTTGATATCTGTATTTGATATCAAATTCTCCATTGCCTGGAAAACTGCCTGTTGTGTTAAGGATATGTATGATTATTTTTTAACATGATCTTCATACATTGTGAATTTTCATTCATCTCTCATCTTTAATACTACTTAAAATGTTAATTTCAATCCTCACCTTGTTATATATTAAAACATATTCTCCTACATTTATTATTAAACATACAAAAAATAATGCCTCTATTCTAATGCCTTGGGAAACAATTTTATTCATTAATGTTAATTAGTTACTCTCATCCAATACCTTTATCCCTATATGGACAATCAAGACCTACTGGTTCATGAATTGTATATTTTTCCCTAGTGGTAAGAAATTATGCTTTATAAGACAAATGCATATTGAAAAAGTAAAAATCATTCAAGATGCATTTTGCAAGAGAAATTGATTACTTGTATCCCTTCTTGTATATTGTTAATGTTTTTGGCTCTTGGGCCATTTTATCTTCAGTTACCATTTCCTCACAGTGAGAGCCAGTTGGTGTAGTGTTTAAGGCATCAGGCTAGAAACCAGGAGACCAGGGACTAGTTCTAGTCCTACCTTAAGTACAAAAACAGCTGGGTGACCTTGGACCAGTCACTTTCTTTCTTTCCTGGAAAGGAGGCAATGGCCAATCACTTCTAAAAAACCTCTCCAAGAAAACTTTAGGGACATGTCCAGTCAATATCTGAGAACTGGACATAACTGAACAGAAGTAAAACAACAACAACAACCAATTCCTCATATTTAGTTTCAGAATCTACTGTTGCTCCATTTTGCTTTTCATGCTATAGATGCTTCTTCCCTGACATTTTAAGAAACAACCAAAGAGGCTGGATATGGATGCATAATTTTATTTTTCTTTAATATATGTGAATATTGGTATTATCTGCAGTGTAGTAAAGCCTATCACCACTAATTAAACACATATTAAAGGTGAGTTAGCTTACCATGAAAATAGTAAAATTCTCATACTCTATGTAATAGTGGACATATTGCAATATTCAGATTAAAACAAATATTAATGAATAGCTTTCTTTGTGTCCTGCACCTCTTTGAATTTTCTACTTCCTTTTTAAAATAAATATTTTAGTGGAAAAGAGGTCTGATCCAGGTTTGAACTTCCTAAATATTTAACAGATGTAGACCTTAGAATTGACATTTTATTTAGGGGATTTGTTGTTGTTGTTGTTGCTGCTGCTGCTGCTGCTGTTGTTTCTTTTCATGGCAATGTACAAATATTGCAATATGCAAATATGACCTATAAGGCAGGTAATCATTTAATAAATCTGAGTTAGAAACAGGACAAAAGTAGAATACTTACCATTATGATACAACAATACTTTAGACACATTAATCCTGTGAGTAGTATTTATATTATGTATTCACTGCTTGATCCAAATAAGGATTTTTTGAGATTCTAATAGAAAAATAATCCGTCATAGGTTTTCTGCTAGATGAAGGCATTTTCAGAAAGCAAAGATTCATTCATTATCTATGATCAATATTTAAAAGCGGATGAGATAAAAACAAATACAATATAAAACAATGTAATAAAGTAGTGATAACATAAATGTTTTACAGAAAAGCCTGAAGCAATTACCAACATAACAGAGGGGTTACACGTCTGCAAGCCATGACTATACTAAAAATTTAGCCAATTTGGTAATAGTTGAAAGTTGTTTCTCTAAGACTGTAATGAGATTTGAGTTGAAAGAAGAAGAACCATGGTAACACCTTAAATTGCTGTTCTATTTTATATTTTTTGAACAAATATATATATAAATTGAATATAGATATTAAATATATTGTATACTTATTAAAAATCTATATTTAGCTCTAACATAGATTGGATCCATTGTTTAGGAATATTTCATAAAGAATGGAATCATATGCCTTATCTATGCTGCTTGATAATTTATTAAACAATTTGGGTATGCCACTGCCTCTGCTTTCGTAGTCTACAAAGAAAAGAATAGGAACATGGAGATGAGCAGGGAATGGAGAGTAAAATTCTGGTTTAGCAAAAATTTCAAACATGTTGTTAATTTATAAATGAAACAATAATGGGAGTACACTTTAATCCTGTTTTGCACACTTTATTAATTATCCCAAATGTTCACTAGCCAGTCACATTATCATTATTTTCTTTGATTTTTTTCTTCTTTTACCTGTATCTTGTAAAGATCTCATTTACTTTGTGATTTTCTCTTTCCTTTTTAGTGATGGAGAACCAAACAGAGGTGAGTGAATTCCTCCTAACAGAGTTGATTAACTTCTTTAAACTTCAAAATCTTCTATTTACAATCTTCCTGCTGTTGTACCTGGCCATATTGGTGGGAAATGGTATGATTATTATTTTAATCTTAACAGAACCACATCTCCACACTCCCATGTACTTTTTCCTTGGAAATCTTTCCTGCCTTGACATTTTCTTCTCTACAGTTACCATACCAAAGATGCTAGCAGGATTTCTAACAGAGCTGCACACAATTTCTTTCAAGGGCTGCATGATACAGCTGCATTTTTTCCACTTCTTGGGAAGTAGTGAAGGTATTCTCCTTGGAATCATGGCCTATGACCGCTATGTTGCAATATGCAATCCTTTGCGTTACGCACTCATCATGAGGAAAGAGGTTTGTGTGTTAATGGCAGCAGCTGCCTGGTGTGTTGGATTTTTCCATGCCTTGATGCACACAGTGATGACTTCTCGCCTTCCCTTCTGTGGATCAAATCATATTGAACACTTTTTGTGTGACATCAAGCCTTTGCTGAAACTGGCCTGCAGTAGCACATATCTCAACCTCATGCTCCTGAATATTGTAACCAGTTGTATTGTGATGAGCTCTTTTGTGTTCATAGTTCTCTCCTACCTTTACATTATTACTTTTCTGCTTTTCAAAGTACAATCCCAGAGTGGTTGGCAAAAAGCCTTCTCCACTTGTGGGTCACACTTAATTGTGGTGGCTTTACTTTATGTTCCTGTGTTGTTTAATTACATACTTCCCAGTGTGGGTACCTCATCAGAACAGGACATGATGGTAACCCTCATATATAGTGCAATTACCCCAGTGTTAAACCCACTTATTTATACACTGAGAAATCAGGAAGTTAAAAGAGCAATGAAAAAGATTATAGACAAAAAAAAAGTAACTTTCTGGTGAATTTAAATGCTGGAAAGATATTGCATCCATTATACTTTTCATTCAGAAGTAGAAGTCTTCTTCCGAATTACTTTCCCTATCTACTTGAATGAAATCTGCAATTTTGCTTTAAAGAAAATTAAGTGTCAATGCTTGTTATGAAATGGTTTCATAAGAACAACCTTTACATTTGTTCTAGATTCAGAAAAATGATGTTAGCTTCTAGATCTTAAACTTCTGGATTGGAGGCTAACCTTATGAAACACTGAATTTGTAGCTTTTTTTGTTTTGCACAAAAATGGTCATGGAAACTGATTTGAAAAAATATTGCTTGGGGGAAAATCTGAGATTGTCATTTGAGATGAGATTGTCATTCCTTTATGTTCTCTCTTTAAATATAAAGTCTAAACAATATTTTTATATGATTTTCTTTTTCACCTATTCCAAATCTGATTTGGAAACTTATTTTTCAAACTTTGTTTTAAACGTTTTGTGCTGTTTAATTACATGCCTCCCACTGTGAGTACACCATCATAAAGGTAGATGATATTAACTCTCATATATAGTGTCATTACCCCAGCTTTGAACCCACTTATTTGTACATGAGAAATCAGGAAATTTATTTCTTTACCACCTAGGAACACCTGTAATTGCAGTCTTCCATTCACCATGTTGAATGAGATTTTAATAGAACTCTTCTATCTTAAATTACAAATGGTGGATAAGACTGCTATATAAAAGAACTCTAATAAAGATAGAGTTTAGATATAATTAAAATCCATGCAGGGGAGCCATCTTTGCTCTTTACTGATTTCAAAAATGCATTATACTTAATTAACTTTTAGGTGATTAGCCTCTTTTAAAATATTCCTCTGATTGTTTTGCATTTCCTGACAATGAGCTACTTGAATAAAATCTCTGCTTTAAGTGCATTAAGCATTTATGCTTTTTATATATTTTTTTAAACCTAAAATACACTTGATAAGTTACCTAGACATTTCCCTTGACTTCAGAAAAGAGAGGATAGCTTTGAGTTCCAAGCACCTGGTTATTTGTCTGTTGGTTATTTGTTGATTATTTTGGGGAAATGGCTGGGGGTGGGTAGTAATGAAGTTGATTTCAAAAATTCCAAAAGGGAGAAGAGGGAATCTACAATAATATTTTCTATTCTCCATTTCAAAAAAATATAGCTTCACTTATATTTTGAAGTTCTTTGCTAATGCAACCATTCTAATCTAAAGCAGAAACTTTATTTTTCTGTCTTTCAATTGAATTTTCATATGTCTAAATATGCCTCTCTCCTGCTTGCTTGGAAACCAGCTTTCAGATCAGAGGGTGGGAAAGAGAAACACTGTCTAATAAAGAAGCATTAATATTTTGTAGTATTAGTGGGCTAATAATGCTCAGCTATGCTGTCCAGGCAGACAGTAATAAGACTGATGACAGGTCTTCAAGGTAGATCAGGTCAGGAAACTGACCTGAAACATTATTTTATTGATATGGGCTATAGTGACTATCTCATCTTATAATAATAATAATATTAATAAAGTTGGAAGGGACCTTGGAGGTCATCTAGTCCAACCCCCTTCTCAAGCAGGAAACCCTATACCATTTCAGACAAATGGCTGTCCAGTCTCTTCTTAAAAACTTCCAGTCTTGGAGCATTCACCACTTCTGGAGGCAGGTTGTTCCACTGGTTAATTGTTCTAACTGTCAGGAAGTTTCTCCTTAATTCTAGGTTGCTTCTCTCCTTGATTAGTTTCCATCTGTTGCTTTTTGTCCTGCCTTTAGGTGCCTTGGAAAATAGTTTGACTCCCTCTTCTTTGTGGCAGCCCCTGAGATATTGGAATACTGCTATCATGTCCCCCCTTTTCCTTCTCTTCGTTAAACTAGACATACCCAATTCCATCACCCTTTCCTTATATGCTTTAGCCTCCAGTCCCCTAATCATCTTTGTTGCTCTTCTTTGTACTCTTTCTTTCTCTTTTCTTTCCTCTTATGGCAAAGAAAGTGAGGAAACTGTAGATTTTGCTCTTCAGTGTAGAAAGATCAGGGAAAGAGACAACAAAATATTGATATAATGGCAAATCTTGTGTACATACCTTTATCCACCTTGAACTTTATTCTCCACAACATAAAGGTAAACATCTAAATTAATTCTTAAGGTACATCTAAGATTGTACATCTCCTTGGAGTCAGATGATCCATTCAATTTTCTTAAAAGTATTGTGAAATGGGTGGGATAAAAATGACTGTTTCAAAGACTTTCAGTAAACTTCCATGTTTCAGAGTCTATAGATCAGTAGTTCTCAACCTGTGGGTCGGGACCCCATTTGGGGTCAATCGACCATTTCACGGGGGTCGCCAAGCAAGGCTGTCCGCCATTTTTTTTTTGTCCGCCATTTGTTTTGTCCGCCATTTTTTTCCCCTTTTCCGGCGGGTGCCTTACCTCCCTTGGGCTGGGCCAGCTGGTGGTCAGCCTGCTCCATCTCTGCCGCTTGCCAGCTACACCTCAGCCGGCGCAGGGGGCGGAACCATGCATGCGCGGCACTCCCGGGCAGGGAAAGTCCTTGACTTACGACCGGTTGGGTAGTCCTCGACTTACGACCGGTTTAGTCCTCGACTTACGACCGGTTTAGTCCTCGAGAACCACTGCTATAGATGCTTCTTCCCTGACATCTTAAGAAACAACCAAAGAGGCTGAATATAGATGCATATTTTTATTTTTCTTTAAAATATGTGAATATTTGTATTATCTGCAGTGTAGTGAAGCCTATCACCATTAGTTAAACACATATTAAAGGTAAGTCAGCTTGCCATGAAAATAGTAACATTTTCATACCCTATGTAATAGTGGACATATTACAATATTTAGATTAAAACAAATATTGATGAATAGCTTTCTTTGTGTCCTGCACCTCTTTGAATTTTCTACTGCATTTTTAAAATAAATATTTCTGTGAGATTTTCATTAAACATGTGAATTTTTTTAAAATAATTGATATATATTAACAGAACAGACATTATTAAATGCAGATAAAGTTGGCAAGTTTTAAAAATACAATTGTCCACCATGGCAGCTGATTTTCAAATCATTTCCAAGGCATTTCAACCCCATTGCAAGTTTTTTCTACTTTGCTTTTAGGATTCTTGACTATAGAAAATTTAGTTATGGCCTTGAGAAAGAGGAAAGAGAAGAGAAATGGTCATTCAGCCCTGGAGAAGTCAAAGCAAAAGAGGGAGATATTAGAACACTCCTTTTGACTTCATTATCCTTAAAAAAGGTAGTGAAGATTTTGGACCTTCCAGATTCAATGAATACATCCTAAAACAATGAAATAACATTATTGAAATTCCTGCTTATGATCTGGCCTACCAAGAAAGGCTAACATTGAATTTCAAGCATTTCTGAGGTTACTCATGATCTGTGGTGGTAATGGGACTCATCGTATATGGCTCTTCATACAAAATGTCCAGAAAAACAAAGGGCTGCAAGATTCATTTGATTTAGAGGTTGAAAGGGGAAACTGCCCAAAAACTGAACTCCTGTCCTCCTCCATCACCACCACTTTTATTTTTCTTTGAGATATCCATTAAACTCTCTTCTTCAATTTTGCAGGCTGGGCTGAGGAATTACACAGCATATCCTGTAACAAATACTGAGTATATTCTCAATTAGTATGGTTCACAGATTATTATAGTTATCTCTAATCCTTAATATTACTCATGATTTTAATCCTCACAAGGTATAAACTGCAGCAGAATCTTTGATTATTTTGATTATTAACACAAAACCTATTTGTGATTCTATTTCAATTCTTTGGGGGAAAATATCTTTGCTATTAAACACATAGATAAATTGTCTTAATTGGTTGATCAAATAGTTTACATTCTCAGACTCAGAAAATGTATTCCCACAGGCATACACTGTTTCATGGATTGTTCTATTTGTCCCCAAAGGCAGGTAATAATGCTCTGTAAGCCAAGAAATGTACACACACACACACACACACACATATATATATATATATTCTACTAGGATAGCATATTTTTGCATTCTCTCAAAATGCATGGTTTACCTCTTGATTTTAAATGATCCTTATCTTAAATTATTGATCTTAATTGAGGAAAGGTGTTATCAAGGTATGAATCATATGAATATTAAGAAATAGATATCACGTAGGGTCATGTTATATACAGATTTATTCAGAACATTCAATATTATGTTCTGTCTTTGAAATCATAGTTAGTTCTTTAGTATCTTACAATATCTTTAAATAAAATATGTTTAAACAAATGATAAATGATAAACAGCAACAGAAGGGAGGAGAAATATAAATATTGTAAGTTATTTCTGCAGTTGTCAAGATCACAGCATATTATTTCATCCTCTGGGAGGTTCACAGTTACATTTTATGTTTAACTGTGATTTTCAAGTATTAACATGTTAAAAGTAGTTATTTTTTAATTATAAGTCAAAAAGTAAAAGTTCTTGTCCATCTAACCACTTCTACCTGTTTCATTTAGACTGGGATATACTGAGCTTTTGACACATCTAATGCCCAAATAAACAAACAATTATACTGTGTGGTCTGCTTGTAGTAAAACAATAATTGAGCCCACAATAAATTGTATAAAAAATGCTCATTATCCTTTCAGCCTATTTCATTATTTAAAAACTTTGAATTCCCTCTTGGTGGTTATGTTTCCTTCTCAGATGTGTGAAATAATACCATAGCAACTGGTTAACACTGGACCAGTAAGAAACACATTGCCACAGTTACATTTAATCTTTCAACTACTGTTGATGGACAGAATAATAATCTGAAGCTATAACTGCTGCCATTATTTCTAAAGGCCAAGAAGAGGACAAAAATGAGCTCTAAAATATTCTAGCTCAGCAAGTAAAATATCTACACACAAGAATGGGAATATGTTGTGCTTTGATAATGCAAGAGGGAAGCTAAATAAAATCAACTGACTATCTTCCTTGGATATAAAAATACGTCCCAACACTTGAC